GACTTCAGGGGAACACATTCATTCATATTTTGCTGCATGTTTTGTGTAAAAATGAAGCGACGATACTCAAACTAAACAGCGTTTAGTGTGGAAGCTTCATGTTGGATTGAACTATGATTTGTTTGATATTTGATTTGATATTTGTCAAATGTCAGTCATAGTTACTAAAGCACAAGATGACAAATGTCTTGTTTTGTCCACAAGCCAACGATGTTCAGTTTCCTGTCACTGTCACACTAAACAGGGATTTTTCTTCTCTGTCGAACAGGATCTGCAGGAGACCAGCCTCTGTTGAACCAGAACCTGGACCTGAACCCAGCTATGTGTCCTTAAAGAGCGACAGCTCCGTTGAACGTTTCATTGAATTTAAAGTTCCACAACCGTCTGCTGCTAAAAGGTACTTTAAGCTGATCACAACAGTTTCTCCTTTTGTAAAATGAATGAATGGACCCTATGTTAGAGCTGAATCTCAATTAAATTAAACTATGTGTGAGATAGCTCCTGTGCATTCATTTAATGAAGCAATAGGAGAAGATATGTAGGTCTCACTCTGTGTATTTATTTATCAGATAGTTGAATAAGCATACAGAGCTCTGGATCAAACTTCTCACCCCAGCACCACCAAAGTTAATGTCAGGACACGAGGTCTGACCGACTGCCTCTCCCTGATCCAGTGTACTTATGCTATTACATGAGGATGTGCACAGAATGTGTTGCAGCCGGCTGATTGGCTCCTCCGTGTCCTTGAGCCTTCTTCCACCATCTCGTAGGTGCAGAGACTTGCCACTCTGCGCCCTCAGTTTCTCCCTCCTGCAGATACCTGCTTGTGACAGAGAAATATACACAAACCACCAAATCCTGTCTCCACTTAGGCTTTCTCATGCTGCAGTTGTTTATCAACTGTGTTGATTATGCCTTAAGATAATAATGTGAGATTAAAAAAATAATAAAAGGTGAGGAGAGTAACACCAAATTATCAAAATATGAAATAACGTGAGATTAATATAATAAGAGGTGCAGAGAATAATACTCGATTATCTAAATATAAATTAAAGATATATGTATAAAATATATGATCCTGACACCTATCAGGCTGGCCGTATGGCAAGAAAACGTGACCAAGATTTAATGTAGCGTGATACAAATGAATATAACGTTTCATCATGCTGACTAACGTCAGGCTCCATCAGGTCCATTCAGTCACAACAACATCTTCAGTTAAGTTAGTCTGTGCTGGTTCAGGTGAAGCTTTGCTCTTTGAATGTGTGCTGCACATTTTACATTACAAGATGTGTGGACGTGTTGTTGCGATTACACAGGATATGGATCCAAAAAGCAACAGAGGGTTTGGTGGTTAGAAAAGAGGGATTTATTCAGGCAGCAAGGAACAGGGGACACCAGGAAGCACGTGAGGGGAGCCGAATGAGGGAGGGAGAGAGGTCCAGGAGAGGTTCCAAGACAGACAGGGAGGCTGAACAGCAGTGGCTGGAGCTCAGCTGCAGAGGCTGGGCTGGGGAGTACATCGGTCCGTCGGGGAGGTTCTGGTAGCAAACGCAGACAAAGGCAAAAGTCAGACAGGGCGAGTTTCTTTAAGCACAAAACTCCAAAGCGACCATGCAGGTGTGTAACCACTCGTGGGAGAGTAATCCACTGACGCTGGACCACAGGTGGAGGCAGGCTTTATCTGATTAGTAAGGACCCTCAGGTGTGGGACAGAGTGAGTGAGACCTCTCCCATCCAAAACCCCGCCCAGCCTGAAAAACACTAAACAGCCACCAAAACAACAGGAACAGACACTAATGTTTCAAAATAAGAGCGCAAACCTCGAAACACCACACATGTAGCGCGACAGCACAGATTTATATATTAGATGAATGTATGTGGTCATGCTGCCGTTTTGCTAAAAGTATCTGCTATGCTTTGACTTTCTGGGACAATAAAGTTAATCTAAGTCTGTTCTTTTATTCTTCGTCTAACAGGATGTTGAAGAGACCAGCCTCTGATGAACTTGAACCTGAACCTGAACTTGAACCTGGACCTGAACCCAGCTGTGTGTCCTTAAAGAGCAACAGCTCCATTGAACGTTTCATTCAATTTAAAGGACAACAGCCGCCTGCTGCTAAAAGGTAATCTGATTACTGATTCATGTTTAAACTGTTAATGTCCAGAGAAGTTTTATTAAATCGGTTCTTCAGTCCAACCGTCTATAACTGTAGACTTCAGTTTAATACACACATTCATTCATATTTTGTGTAAAAATGAAGCGACAACACTCAAACTAAACAGCATTTAGTGTGGAAGCTTCATGTTGGATTGAACTGTGATTTTTTTTTTGATGTTTGATTTATTTGTCAAATATCAAATTAGTTTCTGAGGCACAAGATGACAAATGTCTTGTTTTATCCACAAGCCAACGATGTTCAG